GCAAATGAGACAAAATATTGAGACAGAGAACATTCATTGTACTCTTCCTTCAACTTTTTGCAGGCTTGCAGATTTTCAAAATAAAATTGGGGGCGGAATTAGGCTACCCGGGCCCTGATGCGAGTCTGGCGGGAGGCTGGCTTTGTGCTTAGCGCTGGAGGCTCAGGTGGGGTGGAGTGTGCAGCGGAGGCCGTGGTCTGGAGATCTCTGGTGTGGCCTTAGGCCACGGTGCCCGGTACAGGTACTGTGCACTCAGGGGCCATATTGGCATGTTCAGGAACTCAAGGGAAGCCCATGACCACATCGCTCCCGCCCATTAGGCCCTGTGGCCTAATGCCACAGCAAGACTCCAGACCAGTCTCAGCTGCAGACACCACCCCGACCGAGCCTCCGGCTCTAAGCCACAAAACTAGTCTCACATCAGAGCCCAGGTAGCTTAATTCCATCCCCAGCTCTACTTTGTCAAAACGCACTTCCTCCTGCTGGGCCCTCTCTGATGACCACAGGTGGGTCCCTGGAGATGGGGCTGGAAAAAACAGTGCTGGACCCCATGATCACCTCTATGACGAGGCTGGGCACGGGGCAGGGAGGAGCAGGAGGGCCCTGCTTGTGGGAGGCCTCCCCTGACCAGCTCCCAGAAACAAATTAGAGTGAGCACAGGGAGGACGGCGGAGGGCGCCACAGGGACAGGGGCAGAGGAGTGAGTGTGAGGACAGCAGCAGACCCTGGTGCACGACGGGCGCAGGGACGGCTGCTGGTGGGAAGTCTGGGATTCATGAGGGCGGCGTCCATGAGTTCATGAGTTCATGAGCTCACAGGCTGAGCCTGGGGACGCGGGCGACAGGGCAGCAGGCAGGGTGGTGCCAAGAGGAGGGCTGCAGGTGAGCCCTGAGGGAAGCCCTGCCCCGTTCCTCCTGCTGGGTCTATTTAAAGTCCTAGCGGGGGGACCGAGGCTTTCAGTAGTCTGAAGGTCAAAGCACAGGTGGGAAGTATAAGCAGGTATTTAAGGGGCTAGCACACCCACTCTACTTTTGCCACTTGTGTAAAGTCCACCTGTCACAAATAATATTGGTGTCACAAGAGCAAAGGAAACCATCAAAGAACAACAACAGAGAGACAATCTACTAAATGGGAGAATGTACTCGTCACTAATCCATCTGGTAAGGGGTTAATATCCAAAATTTAAGAAATGCAAATTAAAACAAGGCCTGGCTGGTGTGGCTCAGAGGTTGAGGGTCGACCAGTGCACCAAGAGTTTGCCAGTTTGATCCTGGTCAGGGCACATGCCCGGGTTGAGGACTCAATCACCAGTAAAAGGCGTGCAGGAGGCGGCCAATCAATGTTCCTCCCTCATTGATGTTTCTCCCTCATCAATGTTTCTCTTTCCTTCTCCCTTCCTCCCTCTCTAAACATAAATACTAACATATTTTTAAGAAACAATGAGGTATCACCTCACGCCTGTCAGAATGGTTGTCAGTAAATCCACAAATGACAAGTGCTGGCCAGGCTGTGGGGAAAAGGGACCCTAGTGCACTGCTGGTGGGGATGAGACTGGTGCAGCCACTGTGGGAAACAGGGTGGATGTTCCTCAAAAAATTAAAAATGGACCTGCCTTATGACCTAGTAATTCCACTTTTGGGGATTTACCTGAAGAATCCCAAAGCATTAAGTCCAAAGAACATATGCACCCCTGTGTTCACTGCAGCTTTATTTACAGTAACCAAAATTTGGAAGCAATCCAAGTGCCCATCAACAGATGAGTGGATAAAAAAGCTGTGGCAGCCCTGGCCGGTTTGGCTCAGCGGTTGGAGCGTCAGCCTGCGGTACAGAGAGACCCGGGTTCGGTTCCCGCTAAGGGCATGTACCTCGGTTGCAGTTTGTCCCCGGCCCTGGTTGGTCGTGCGGGTGGCAACCACTCGATGTGTCCCTTCACATCGATGTTTCTCTCTCTCTCTCTCTCCCCCTCCCACTCTGTCTGAACAAAAAAATGCAAAAATGTCCTCGGGTGAGGATAAAAAAAAAAAAAAAGCTGTGGCACATATATACAATGGAATTATTACTCGGCCATAAAAAAAAAGAATGAAATCTTACCATTTGCAACAGCACTGATGGACCTAGAGGGCATTATGCTCAGTGACATGTCAGTCAAAGAAAGACAAGTACCATATGATCTCACTTATATGTGGAATCTAAAGAACAAAACAAACAAAATTGAAACAGACTCATAGACACAGGGAACAGACTGATGGTTGCTAAAGGAGAGTAGGGTTGGGGCACTGGGTGAAATAAGTGAAGGAACTAAAAAGCACAAATTGATAGTTACAAAACAATCATGGGGAAGTTGGTGAAGCATAGGAAGTATGGTCAATAACACTGTGATCACTATGCATGGTGCTGCTGGGGTACTGCAAATACCGAAGGGAACACTATGTAAGTATATGACTGTTAACTACTAAGCTGTACACCTGAAACCAATACATAAAAAATAAATAAATAAAAATAAGATTAAAAAAATGTTAAAAGGGGCCTGTGGGGGAATAAATGATATGCAAACATCTGAAGGTTAGACATGTTGAAAAGGCAATTGTCTGGCTCTAGGTTGTCACAGAGAATTGTGCTAACTGACAGAAAATAAATTATATGCAAATGAATTTTAAACAAATATTTCCATTGAAAGTAGAGGTCATTCCTTTTCTTATATTATCTACCTCCTTTATATAGTAGCTATGGATTATCACTTCACTTCTATGGTCGAAACGGTATTAGTAAAAGGTAAAAATCATACCAATAGTTACATAGGAGTAGCTCATTTCCTTCATACCCCTGTAATGACATTACTTGTATTAATAAACGACTTTTTGTTTTCTGGAAGAAAATGTATATGCTGGTGTCATTCTCAGCCCGGAGACTGAAATGAAGATGTCCCGGGAGCAGACAGTGATTGGGGGTGAGCCCCTCCCCCACAGAGGCCTTCCGGCAGCGGAGCGCGCCTGGCCCGTCCCCCCGCAGACTCCCTGAGCGCCCGCAGAGCAGCCGCAGGTCCCAGGCTCAGCCTGAGAACTGGCAGGACCAGGGAGGGACAGCTGGGTGGTGACTGCTCGGGCTCATGGCGAGGTGCTCCGGATCAGGGGGCACACGTGATGCCACGGAGCCCACCAGTCCCACTGGGGGAGGCTGAAGGGATCTGATCCAGAGAAAATTTCTAAGCTCTGCCCAGTGTTTACTTTTTCAAGTTTGTTTTGATGGACTCTTAATCGAAATGCTGAGACAATTCAAGCATCACTATTGTATACCAACAAAATTCTACATATAAAAATGATAGGGAGACTGCAGTTTTTAAAACTGGTTAGGTTTTTCACAATGATCAGGTAGCATTTCTCAAAGTAACTAAAAACTTAAGATACTATAATTTATTTATTTAAAAATCAAGATTCTCTGCCATCCAGGTGGGGAGAGAAGAGCATGGGAAGAAGTTCCAAGGCTGCTGGAAACTCAGGTCAGAACCGCACAGTGACAGGCTGGGGAGAGATGAGCTCCGCCTCTGCAGACCGGCGGTGGGTGCCCAGGGCTTCTCCCAGGGCCGCCCCCTCAAGCTCCTGGAGAAACTCCAGGACCCCACCATCACCTTGCCAACAAGGAGAGAAAGTAACAGATTTTTTGGTCACAGTGACATTCTGGCTCTTTATCCCCAAGAGAGGCTGCACAGCTCCTGAGGAACGTGATAAAAGAGGATGGCATTAATCAGGCTACTGTGTTCTGACCCCCCAGCTTCTTTCTTTTTTACCTAAATAAGGCAGAACAGGGTTAATCATCATCATCTTACCTTTATCTTAAATCCTTGGCATCCGTTAGAGACAAACACAAAACACCACAAGAATTGTCCTAGTAACGCCACTTAGAAAGACTGCAGTGATGTGACGCGTTTAGCAAGTTCCTAGGTCCTATTTTAAAATACTGCACTGCCTGTACTGAGGACAGCCCACGAAAAGGTTCCATGTAAACCCAAGTCCAGAGATCCAGCCCAGGAAACACCAGCTTCCCCGAGATAACAGTCTTAGGGTCACTGGCTCAGACACCATTGCCTGGTGCTACCCAGGCAGACAAGCAGGCACAAAAGTGAGCAACTCAGGAGCAGGTGAATCGGTGGGCACAGACCCTTCTACGGCTCCTTAATTTTTGGAACAAAAGGCTCACCTAGAAATCAAGGACCGCATCAATTTGGCACCACGGAATCACTTAAAAGAACTGCCTTTCTGCCCTGGCCAGTTTGGCTCAGCGGTTAGAGTGTCGGCCTGCGGTCCGGAGAGACCCGGGTTCGGTTCCCGCTAAGGGCATGTACTTCAGTTGCAGTTTGTCCCCGGCCCTGGTTGGTCGTGCGGGTGGCAGCCACTCGATGTGTCCCTTCACATCGATGTTTCTCTCTCTCTCTCCCTTCCTCTCTCTCCCTCCCATTCTATCTGTACAAAAAATAGAAAAATACCCTCAGGTGAGGATTAAAAAAAAAAAAAAAAGAACTGCCTTTCTGACCCTGCTGGTTTGGCTCAGCAGTTACAACATAGGTCGCAGATCGATGAGTCTGGGTTCAATTCCCAGCCCAGGGTTCAGCAGAAGGCAATCGATCCTGATACATCTCTCTCACATCGATGTTTCTCTCTCCCTCCCACTCTACCTAACAATCAATGAAAAAAATATATATCCTCAGGTGAGGGTTAAAAAAAAAAAAGAACTGCATTTCTGGAGGCAAGTGGGGACTCTGACAATCCCCACACAGCAATGTCCTCTGACTTTCAAATACTGGCAACTGTTTCTTCCCCAAAAGTGTAGTTGTTGAGTGCTTCTCTAGGACCTAAATAGCAGGTCCCATGAGAGGAGGAACAAGAAACAAATACACAGGGTGGGCAAAGGCAGGTTTACAGCTGTGTACACAAAAGTTTATTAATTATCGCAGTGTTTTCCACGCGAACAACTGTACACCTACGCTGCCCCACCCTGTATAACACACGTTGACAGGATAACACAGAGGACATCTAAGAGCTATGTCCGAGACCAACTCAGGCCCCAGGGAAAGACGCACAGTATCAGGCTCTAAGGATACCGAGGGACACGTCCAACACTGCACGACCTGGAGAAGAGAATACGATGCCTCACACACGACGCACTCCGAGGGACCCACAGCGTCATCTCATGCACACAGTCCTCCTGCCAACCTGCACAGGTGTTACAGTTTCCTGAACAGTTAGTTCCCACGTCAAATAAAATACCAACCGAAAAATTTTAGATCTTTCATCTTTTAGGGAGAAGTTTGGTCTTAAATTTAGGATTCCATGATTGTTTTAACAAGCAAAGCTACTACAATGCATGTGCCTGAAGAGGGCACGTCTGCCGCGTCACAGGTGACAGCACACTTCTGGATAAAAGCTAGGATGGCTTTCGCTCCAGGAGTCCTGCTTGCTCCTTCGCTGTGAGTTCTTCTAGCTTCTTCTCATAGCGACTCAGGAAATACTCATCGGGTTCAATCCCTGCGTTCTTCAAGTTCTCCATGACCTTCTGCAGTCTGGGGACCGATCGAGCTCCCTCAATCTTTCTTGTGCTCAGGTACAGAGTGAACTCCCTGAAATCCAGGAGCTTACAGGTGTCCACAGAACAGATATTCCTGATGTCATTATTAGTTCTATCCAAATGAGGAAAAAACACCAGTCCTGACAACTTCTCCAGGTCCTGAAGGCTCACTTGGAATTCACTTAATTGGGGTTGGAAGCCAATAGCTTCATTGGGCACCACGAAGGCCCCTAGTGCCAGCGGTTCAGTAGACACTGGACTTCTGCGAGCCAGGATCACCTTATAAAGGTGCGAGGGGACCGCCACATTGTCCTCACCAATCACCTAAAAACAAAGCACATGTTAGTGATGCTAATCTATGCTAACAGTTCCCTAAGTTTTCCTGTGAAGACTTTAGATACATTTCTAAAACTGCACTTATAAAATGCCCACCCAATGAATTTAAATTCAACTGCCAAAGGTAATAATAAACCAAAATACAGATTCACAAAGAAGATGAGCATTTAACAGGTAGGTTCTGATCATGTCCTTTAAAATAATGCCACCCCCAAGAGCAGGGGTCAATGTCAGCTCTGTCTGCAGGACAAAGGAATGCCGTGAGAGAGTCCTGAATTTTTCATGGACAAGAAAAGCTGTCAATTTTGCTTTGTCTCATAATCGTACCAGGGTACAATTCCTGGTACGTAAACATTTAAAGGTCAAAACTGCCAGCTTGGGAACTCCCAGCTCTAGAAATAAAAATATGGCCTTAGTTTATCAAATTCACTAGGGAGCTAAACAAACAGCCTTTAGAGAAGCAGCCAGGCACACCAAGTGATGTTCCTATCCTGTCTTGCCCAGACTGGGGTTCGCTTTTTAAATTAAGAAAACGTAAATGCTGCGTGCTCAGAGGACTGCTTGCTCTTGGGCCTGCTACCAGACACGGACTCCTGCGTGGGCCATCAAACCAAACCCTTTGCAAAGGTGTCCACACAACAAAGCAGCCAGAGCCAGGGTCAGGCCTGGAAACAACTTGGCTGCCTGTGTACGTAGGCTGTAATAACAAAATAACATCGTTACGAAACCTTTTCAAATTTCCTTCCAGTTGGCTTAAAAGCCTTATCTGTTTTCTGAAAGAAAAAAAAGAAACGGAACCACCATTTCCTTAATGGTCCTCTGTGAAGCGACGCAGTCCAGCAGCACTGTGCCGTGCGCTGCTTCCCCCAGCCCTTCCTCGGTGCGGCGCTCCTGCGCAACCCGCTGCCCGGGAGGCCCCCGAGCCAGACACGGCAGAGGGATGAGAGCACAGGGCTCTGCCCTGCTTCTCCCAAGCTTCTACCTGCATGGCATACAGCCTAAGAACTCCGTGGCCATCTGCTGTCTGGCCCGCGTGGAGGTCCCACTGCCGAGACCAACTGCAGAGCGGCAGGGAAGACCCATCTCAGGAAAGATTTCTATAACTAACTGTCTCTGAAGTTAGTGAAAATGGCTAGCCAGGGAACAATTTAAAGGTTGTGAAATTATACAATCTACAGACACAAAGTCCCCACCCCCTCCAACAAGTCATTTATGCAGCTGGGAGAAAAACATATTCTTCAAGGCAAAAATACACTGAAGGGGAACTCTATGGAGGTCTACGATTAGCCCAGGTCACCGACAGATGTTAATTCAACAGAGCAATTCAGAGGTCCTGTGCCTGGCACTGCTGGAAACATGGAAAGGAATAAGCTTTAAACGAAATACCTGCTCTCAAGGAACTTCCCATCTAGAGGAGTCAACACCCACAGCTTTCACTGCAGGTAGGATGTGGTGAGATGCCTCTCCAGAGCTCAAGCAACAGCACTAAGAGGTTGGGTTCAGAGGAAGTCAAAGGACCAGAACCGAGGGCACAGCTGCAGCTGAACCATAATTCACAGGGGGCAGTTCAAACGGGCTTCAAGTGTTCCAGGTGCTAGCTGGGGAGCCTACAGTTAAGCAAATCCTTGGCGCCACCTGGTGGACATCCTCCATCACTACAGCACAGTTCTCAGACTCCAACTGTAAGGAGCCTTGGAGACCATTTATTTGATTATTTTCTCTCCTTATGGGCTCTTTGTCTACAAACAAATGGCAATTTTCAAAGACAAGTAATTGGTCATGTCCATTCACTGTTCACTGCCAAACAGGGCTTCTAATCCAGTTCATTAAATTCCAGCCAAAAGTAAGTTTGACATTTTAAGATTCACTGTTTTGCGTCAAGGAAATGTACCATTTCTATTAGATTTTCAAAAACTCTCACAATAGCTAGAGTATCTCTATTACTACTTTTGAGAAGCCTCAGAGACCAAGAAATTCCTACTAATCACAAGGTGTGATTCTTCCACACATGACATTCTAACAATATTTCAACAAAGAGGGATAAAATACTATCCCTAGAAACAGAGGAAAATGAACACTTAGCCATTCACTATCCTTTTTGATTCCGTCTGCTTTGTTCTCAGGAAGTAAACATCTTTAAACTGTCTAATATAGGAACCAGTCTTATTTGAAAATTGGGAAAGCCCACTGTTTCTTCCTTGAATTTAAGACCTTAAAAAAAATCCTAAAGTATTTTAGAGCGATCATCTTCTTCCTTTCTTAAAAAAATAAGTTTTTTTATTGATTTTTTAGAGACAGCAGAAGGGAGAGATAGAAAATCAATGTGAGAAATAAACATTGATCGCTGCCTCCTGCACGCCCCCTACTGGGGATCAAGGCCACAACCAGGCATGTGCCCTGACCTAGAATCAGGACCTCTCAGTCCATGGGATGACGCTCAATCCACAAAGCCACACCAGCCAGGCATATCATCGTCTTTGTTGACAACTCAACCTACATAATAAATTTTTTCCACTTTTGGGAAAACTGGAAGATTTCAGAAAATGTTTCTAGAAAATTCTGGGGTACTGAAGCAGAATGGGTTCAGTGGACTCAAATCCCAAAGACCTGGTCAAGTCCTGGCTTTGCCACTAAGCTGTAAGACACATCCACCATTATCTTCTTTATTGACCCATAAAATAGGTAATAACAATCCCAATGCTGCCTATTTCATAGAATAGTTATGAAGATACGAAGATATGTTCATTAAAAAGAAGATTTTAAAATCTGCAAGATTTTCATATAAAAATCTATTATTGTAGTGGATGTCATTCAAAAGGCAGGAATGCAATTGCATTAGGTACAAAAGGTGGTTCTGCCAAGGGCTCGAGGGAAAACATGGGGTCAAGCAGGATTAGACCAGATAAGGGGAGATACTAAGGTTTCAGGAGAAAACAGATTGGATGCAAATGGTACCCTAAACAGAGGACTCGAAGATTTAACATGAACAAGTCTTTAGTACCAGCAAGTCAGCAAAACCCTTTCCATAGAAGATTTAGGTATAAAATACAAAAGAAACTCTTGCGGCTGTTCAAATACCAAAAAGCACTGAACTCTGGTGAAGATGGTAACAAAAACTGGAAATCAACTGGGAGTGACGAGAAAATACAACATAGATAAAGTCATCAGGTTGGCACTCATTCGTGACTTGAAGTTAGTTTCGTACATGCTGGCCTGAGCATGTTTCTTTCCATGCAAGAGACAGAAATGACAATTTGCTGTCCCCAACCCCACACACAAGATCTGGGCCTTCATGCTGACTCAGTGACAAAAGACACTGGCAGCAAACAATCCCCAGTCTAAGCCTGCCGTTCTTCATGTCAACTATGCCTCAAGTGAAATTCTAAGCGGCATCATGAGAAAAGTATATGTACCTGCTAGAACCAGACAGTTATAAGATACTTGGTTTCATTCCCCTGGTAAGACAAAAGAAGAAATTCCAAAAATAAAACTGTTGGACACATCAAGAGACCAAGCTCTTAAAAAGTCATGCCAATCAAGGGACAGAAAGAAACCATGACAGTGTGATAGATCGGGAATCCATACTGAGGACAGAGGAACAAGAAAAGTGGGGGAGTCACAAGGTGTGGGAAGTCACCAGGAAAGTGGGCAGCCCCGGTGCCATCGGCAAAGCCTTAGCAGGTGCCTATGCAGCCGCACAAACCCCAGGAACCGGCTCGGGCAAGGAGCGGGACCTACCGAATCACAGTAAAACAAGCCCATCTTCCCAGATGTCAATTCTACTTAGAAATTTAGGATGGGGGTAAGGAGATACTTACCCAGTAAAATAATTTATTTTTCAATTAAAACAAACAGTTACAGAAATGAAAAGATCTGTCTAAAGATAAAAAAAAAAAGGAAATTTCAAAGAAAATTACTTCCTGATCCCTCCAAGTGATGCCTCAAGATCCCTGGAGGCGTTTTCAATTTCCTCCCCCTCTAGGAGCTGGTGACAGTTCGGTAAGTGATGCTGTGGGAGGAAAACAGACTGCTGAGCACTTCTAATGTTACCACCACCACCGAGATGTACTCTGAGGCTTACTTTCTTGTCAGGTCAATTACAATGTTCAGGCCAGAATCTTCAGGTATGTTTCACTGGTCTGGAATCAATCTCTTCTGGAAACACGCACATCAGAGAAAGCACATGGATGACCTCAGCTATAATAAAGGGGGTGATTCTGATTAGAGCTGTCAGATGACTCACTTCTGATAAAATCACTGCTACTAATATTCCCTTAGGCTCACATTCACTCAAGTCCTATGACGCTGTGATCCTTTCCTACATATTCTAACAGACATTTCTGCCTGGCTATAAGGAATCCTCCTCTTGGCCCATTTTCTGTTCTTATTTTTGCACGCCAGCAAATATCACTCATAACTACTCTCCATCCACACTACCTTCTACCTCCTGGCCTTCAGCTTCCACATATGAAGAGCATAGCAATCCCTTTGTAGACTTTTGAGAGCTTCTAAGAACAACGAATAACTGGCAATTCTCCCACAAGTAGACGGACCCATGCTTGCATCTCCCTTTGACAATTATTAGCTATGTGACTTGGACTTGACCCCTCAAAACCTCAAGTTCCTTGCCTAAAAAAGAAGATAACTACTACGTGTGTGTAAGGGCTGTTTGTGAGGAATGAATGAGATAGCATGTATGAAGCTACTTACACACTGTGTATATATGACCCTCAGTAAATATCAGTTCATTTGCTTCATTTCCTCCAAAGCATACACATGTAAGCTTCATGGCCTACATAGAACCTTAAATAAATACCCTTACTTTTGTTAGCTACATTCTCCTAACATAAGGTTCAGAGTATATTTGTAAATAAGCAGTAAATATTAAACAGCTGGACCTGAGAAAACAAAATGCTTCCCAGGCATTCAGAATTGCCATATATAATTGCAAGACATTTCCTTGGAATTAGGAATTCACAATTCAAATA